CTAGTTGTTGAGTAGCCCCATAATAATATATTAAAGCGGATCTAATTTTTTATTTAATAAAAATAATTTTTCTAAGCAGAACAGGATCGTCTAAATTAGCTTTAACGAAACACGATTAATCGTTGATTACCAAAGAAGATTTGATTGACATACCTTTTAGACAATTGAAAAATTGTCTGCCACCGACAATCGATTGATTTCTAGATTAAAGTCCATAGTCCTTGGTCTCCAATAGTGCATGGTGCCTCTAGATCTTCACTCCTATCTTTGGTTTGGAAATTGACAAGAGGTGTGAAGCATTGGCTTTTGATCTACTTTAGAATTATGGAACTAAGAGAGAGATGTTTGAATTGTATTGTTGCATTACATTGCACACTTGGAACAAACCATTACCTCGATCCCTTTATATAGAAGTAGAGTTTCAATTAAATACTCTTCTTATTCTACACAATTTCACATTTTATCTATTACAAATATTCCAGGTTGAACTAGGAATCAGAAATGGGGTTTAGGCCAAAAACATGGGGATTTAATAGGCTTATCCTTATCCAAGACTTCAATAAAGTATTCTAATAGCCTGTTAATTCTTTGGCTTATTAAATACTTTCTATTAATTATTTCTAGTTCTATTAAATAGAAATAATTGCACTCAAAGACACAGATAAATATTATATATTATAATATAGCCCCAGCAGCTACTTTAGACCACAAATCGATCTCTCCATGATAATTAGTTATTTGAATAAATATTACCATCAACCAAATGTACTAATTAATTCATATTTGGTCACCTAGATCTTTCTCATTTGATCACATATATTTAATAAATAATTGCCATTTATTAAATATAACTGATCGGTTCCCTACAATCAAAACAACCTAGCAAAAATATTTTGCCACATGATTCCATTTTGATAAAATACGTTACGCAACGAATATATTAGTTATTTACCCAAAGTACTTATATTGTCCGACTCATAGGTTACTCTAAGTATATCAAAGTAAATAATTAGTATAACTCAGTCGGTATAATTCTCAGAATTAAGTATTAATTTACATAAGTGATAGATAAGAAAAACTACTCATGATGGCACAAGTAGTTCTTCTACTTATCGTTGTTATGTTCGGCTATGACAAGCATGCCAACACATTTGGTTCTAGATCATCCTATCCAGACGACTGAGATAAGTCACTCCACTTTGTATTTCTACCGATTTAGAAACTTATGGTTATATTTGTGGAATAGAATTGCCAGATCTATTCCTTATGCTATGTTCGGTAGGAAGGAAGAGGTGTTGAGTAAAAATGGGAAGGAATGAATGAACTTCCTTTGATTGGTAGAGATGATACAAGGAAAGAAAGGAGAATTAGAATGATGACCTATATTTTCTCTTTTACAAATTTTCATCCACTCGGAAGAAAGGAGAGAAGACAAGTAGACTTATTATAGAAGTTTTAAATTAAATAATAGGGTAAAGTGCAAAAAACCCCCCTGAACTATGGGGGTTTTGCAACTAACTCCGTGAACTACAAAAAAACCCCTGAACTTTCAATTTGTTACAATTTGCCCACCTAGGCCATCGAAAAAGGAAAAAGACGATGCTACCCTTGTATAAAACGTCACAGTTCCCTTTAAATATATACAATACACACACATATATATGTATATATATGCACTGTTCTTCTTCATCATCGATCTCCCTCTGTGTGTACCGGCGGCGGCAATGAAGAAGGACAGAAATCGGGATGAGTTGTCAATTGCCTTCTCACCGGCTTTGCACGCATCACAGCCCACCTGCCATTTCTAATAACAACAGATGTTGCAAAAAAAGAAAAACAATAAAAATAAGAGCAGATCACATAGTAACACTTTTTAGTTAATCAGTCCAATCCCCCAATCATAATAAATTCTAGATTAATTAATAAAAAAACACATATATAATATATAGTGTATGAATATGAAAAAGAAAAACTGAACCCACCACCACCAAATTGGCAGTTACATTCAAACATAAGAAAGACAGCCCAACCTGTCGGCAGCCCCAGCTGATCCAGAATGTGTGTGTTTTAGAGAGAGAAAGCTAGAGTGAGATAGATTGTGCTGCCGCTGCTTGTTCTGGAGGAACAGAGTCAAGGTTAGTGTGAGGAAAAGAGATTCACAAGTGTGGACTATAGAGAGAGTGTGGGAAGTTTCAGTGTTCAGATTCAATGTTGGTCCAAGACCGTTCAACCCCAAAATCCCCAAAGACCCACAACAGAGCACTCCCAACTCTACATCCAAATCGCTTCTCTGAGGCCAAAAGCCTCGATTTCTCAACATGGGTCGCTGAAAACCTCTACAAAATCGTCGTTATTCTCCTCCTAGTCTCTACAGTCGCAGCTCTTTTCTTCCTGCGAAACGTCGGCGATACTGCAGTTCTCCTCTGCTTCGAATTAAATCATTGTAAATACCGGCGGCGGCAATGAAGAAGGACAGAATTGGGATGGATGGGGTTTAAATCATTGTATATACCGGTCCGACGTCAACGATGAGCACGAAACAGTGGTGGGTAAGGCTAGCCGTCCTCTGTGAAGCCAAGGAAGGTTCCGATATGGTTCAATCCGAACTGGGTTTTGCTGTCACCGAAACCAAGGAATGTCTCAAGAGACAACGATTTTGTTGTCACCAGAGTTGCAGTTTGTTCGCCAGAACTGGGTTTCGCACCGACGAGTGTTCTTGCCGATTTCGTCGCTGATTGGTTTATTTAAGCTACGCTGCTATTTGGACGGCGGAGGAGAGGGTCTAGATTGGTTTATTTGCCTGCAATCTTGGTCGTATCGTCGCCGTCACTAAGCCACAGATTGGGCTCCGACGACTAGCAGCGGTGGAATCGAGGGCGAGAATCAAGGGTTGGAGGATGAAATTGATGAAACTCAGAAGTTCATCCACCATATTGCCCGCTTTTCTGTCAATCGTCGGCATGTACCAGCCGCCGTCGCCAACGCTGGATCCATCACCGCTGTGCCAGTCTCTGATTTGCGCCGAAGACTTCTCTGGTCGTTGTTCCCTTCTGATTCGCCGTCGCCGTTGCCAACACGTGTTTGCACTTTGTATAACAAAAACACGTGTTTGAACAGTGCATATATATATGTATGTGTAAATAAGTCAATATATGTGTGTGTGTATATATATATATATATATTAAGGGCACTCTTGTCCTTTCATGCTTCTAAGGGCAGTATGGTCTTTTTAAAAAATCTAACAAAATTTAACGGCTAATTCTCACCGAACCATGGCCGGATGGGGTGATCTGTAACTTTTTTGCATAGTTAAGGGAGTTTTTTATATTTTTAAAAGTTTAAGGGGTTAGTTGCAAGTTTCCCCATAGTTTAGGGAGGTTTTTTACGCTTTACCCTAAATAATATTCTAAATTATATAAGGTATAAATTACAGTACTATAAATTATAATATTATAAATAATATGGGATAAAATGGTAAAAATAATTAAAATTTTCTATTTTTCTTCTCTCTTAACCAATATAGTAAATTGTAAATTTATTCTCTTCCCTTCATTCTCATCTAACAAAAAGAAGGAAATACGTAATCTCTTTTGTAGGAATGTCTCATCCATCTCTTCTTTTCTCCATTCCATCTAATTTTTTTTCTTCTAATTTTTTTTCTTTCCCACCTAAAACATTGGAGTACAGACATTAACAATTACAAATACTGATGAATTTAAATTTTATTTATTTATTTATTATATGAAGATAAATAAATCAAATTTTATTAACAAAAATATCAGATTACATTTAATGGCTTTGTAGGGTATACATAAACCCTAAAAGAGTTCATTAGATTCTTTAAAAAATAAAGTGAGACGACAAAATGAGCAAGGTGTTAAAGATTCCATATTCCACTGGCGAGCCTTTCATCAGCATTAACCAATTCACTCCCTTAGGAAGGATTTGGGCCATGAACCATTTATGATACCGTAATTACTCCAATTTACATTTCCCATATAGAACACCCATCATATACGCATAAATTATTTGCATAATCAGATGGACAACCCGATTCAACTACCGAATTGATCAATACAAATCATTCACCCATTATGTATAAAGTATCAAATGAACCAATGTTTATAAACTGAACAAAATGTCAACCGCTATTCATCAAATTTGCTATGCTATGGCATACAAATCCAACTAATGAAGCTCAAATGATATAGAAGCCAAAGGGATAAAATATGGAGAGAAGCATAACTACCTCCTCTTCTAATATCTCTCAGAAGGTATTAGGAGTCTCCTATAGGAGGACAGACAATTCAAAATGAATGTCTAAAAAATAATTAAATAGTAATAGATTTATTTATATAAATACATATATTATTATTACTAACCAGTGGGAGTGCGAGTTTTTGATTCTATAATTTAATCTGCCTTTAATCCCAATAGACTGCAACGAAACTCATTCTATTAATGCCAAACACACTCAAATAATTAAGAGAGAATCTGCTCGTTTTAAATTTATCTACATGATAAGCCTATTTTTTGTAAAAAAAGAAAATAGATTAAATCTCCAAATAGAACATTGTTAAAAGAAGGAAAGAGATCATACATATGAAAGGTAAGAATCTTTACTCATGAAGTGTGTGTGATTGTCCTTCTCAAACCAGTGCGACATAGATAGCCTAGAGAGTAACTTCTTCCTTTGAAGGAACTTCTTGAACCAAAAAGCAGAGCATTTGGAGTATCTTTTTAACCCATCATTATAATCTACATAATTGATACCAAACCGAACACTAAAACCAGAGGACCATTCAAAGTCGTCGAGAAATGACCATATAAAGTATCCTTTCACATTAGCGCCTTCCCTGTCGATAATTCACCTTTGTCATTAGTAATTTTCATGATTATAGTTGTAACTCAATTTAAATGATATTATGATACTCCAAATTAATATCATTTACATATAATGAATTATATACAATGAATTAAGTAGGCCATTTGCAAAATACTCACTTGATAGCTTTTAAAAGATATGTTAGATGGTCATGGTGGTACATTATCCTCAAGTTATCCTTTAAGGCTTCTTTAACTGGTAAAGTGCTATTATTTGCATCTGCAACCCCTGCAACAAAACAGAATACAGTTTAAAATGCCTAATAGTTTATGTACAATTGTACATTATTATTATTATTATTTTAGAATTTAGAATGATTTACCATTTTCTGTAATGACAATAGGTGGATTCCCATAGTTGTCTTTTATATATAGCATAAGCTCTCGAATCCCTTTTGGATACACGTAAAGCCAGCTCAAAACAGTCTACAAAACCGTTCACATTAAAATTGGTTCAGAAAAATTTTACTGTACGTAACAAATCTTGTGAACTCTTTGGAAAAATTGCCAATATTTGATATGAGTAATGATACACGAGGTTGGTCTCATGATAAGATTATTCATGTTGTAATTTTTTCTAATAATATTGGGCGTGTGAGAGAGAGAGAGAGTACCGGTTGACCGATGGGAACTCCATTTTTCTCGTCTGTAAAAAAGGGAAAAGATACATTTGTATAAGTATTAAAAATAAAAAAAATAAAAAAGATAAACAAAAAGAATGAAAAAAGGAAAGGACCAAGTTCATCAAGGTAAATTTCACTGAGCTTACTAGATAATATAACACGAGAATCTGTTGTCATGCTCAAGTTCACACCGGTTAAAAGCACGGCATTAGCAACATAATGTGAAGTGTAGTAATTTATGCCAGCGAAATCATAAGAATTTCTCAGCATCTTGGATTGCGTCTTAGTGAATTTTGGTAATCTCTTTTTCACCAAAGACAGCATGTTTTTAGGATATTCACCATATGTCATTGGATGTAAGAACCTACAAAATTATTATTTTGAAGCATTAGAAGTTAAAAATAGATAAAGAGAATCACTTAGTATGAAAGTGAAGGTGCCCTATGGAGCACTGGTTACATGATACAATTAGTTAAGTGTTCGCTTGGTATTATCAAATCTAATGGCTTATATAAACATCAACATTTACCATCCCAACATGAAATCAAGAGCCCTTAAAGCAGCCTTTCGATTGGCGACATTTTGAGAAATTGGCACAAACCAATTTGAATTTAATGTGACCCCAATTTGGCCCTTTTGAGAAGCCTGCACATATCCAAATTTAGTTTTGAACAACCTTTCCTACACCAAAATTTGTTTAAAAAAATAAATAAATTGGTAGCCAACAAAATCATGATACAATTCATTATAAGATAGAAAAGGCGAGTACAACACTTTTCAAGACATTTGGAAGCTATGAGACTATTCCCTTCAGTCTTTTGACAACATTTTTTAATTCTCATAGAAAAAAGGAAACAATTAATATTTTGACAAATTTGTTTGAATGACGGTGTTTAAAAATTGTTATCTGACATTAGAGTTCAAATATCTTTGAAGTCACCATAAAAAATAAAAAATAAAAAATCCCTTTTTGATTTTTCTGAAACAAGCATTCTTAAAAACTATTTTATGAAAGGTACACCATACAATTACAAAGACCTCTAAATTGAAAGATTTTTTTCCCCATTTTTATTTTTATTTTTATATATGTTGTAGCTTAATTAATCTCTTGGCTTTTCCCAAAAAAAAAAAAAAAAAAAAATCGGCGGATGACATGCACCAACCCCAGAAAGAGGCCATAATGAGACTAGTGGGTCACAACGTGGATTCTTTTTGTGGTCTATTGGACCAAAGATGCTTGTCTCACTATCGATATGGTACAATGATATAATGACACGTGTCTAAAATTCTTAATTTTCCTTCTTTTATATTTTAAATTCAAAATAATCATATTTCGTATTATTATTGTGCCACGTCAGTAGTGAGAAAGACATTCCTCCTAACTGCCGATGAGCCGAATATTGTTCGACTATTCTCAAAAGAAAACTTGTGGGTCACATCATGGGTTGTTTTTATGGTCCGCTATTGGACAATAGCATTACTCTTTAAAAAAAAATATGGAAGTATGTGACCTATCATTAGTGCAAAAGAATAGCAATGGCAAAAGAATCTGTTCCAACGGTACTGCCCAGCCCCGTTTATGGTGATTTTAGGGGTTGGCTTAAGGGGTTTTGACGTGTATGGAGTGGGGAGGGATAAATACAACTAGGGTTGAGGATGGGTAACCCTACCCACCCCATCCATATTATGTAATTACTTATTAGTTTTATGTCGCGTTTGGTATACATGAATGAAATGGAATACAAGTGGGAATGGAATGAAATGGTTATTGTCATTCTATTATTTGGTTGTAAATATGAAATGTAGAAATAGAATGATATTATCATTCTAGTGTTTGATTGGACTAATTCAAAACCTAAAATGGAATGGATTTCAAATTAAATTCTCCAAAATACTCGTCTAACAATAAATTAAATTAACAAAATAACATTTTTCTAATATTTTAAAAGAAATGGTGAAGGTGGTGGATGGTGGCGATGACGATGGTATTGGAAGTGGAAGGCAGTAGTGGTGTAGGTGGTGGTGTTGGAAAGTAGCGATGGTAGTGGAATGTGGCAGTGGTGTAGGTGGTGGTGGGGGAAGGTAGTAGTGGTGACGGCAATGGTGATAGTGCGGTGGTAACGGTGATGGTGGTGGTGGCATGATGGTAGTGGAAGGTAGTGACAGTGGTATAGTGGTGGTGGAAGGCGATGGCAATAGTGTGGCAGTGGTAGAAAGCAGAAGTGATGTACGTAGTGGTGGTGGTGGAAGGCAACAGTGGTATAAGTGATGGCGGCGATGGCAACAACATTGTTGGTGAAAGGTGGTGGTGGAAGGCAACAGTGGTATAAGTGATGGCGGCGATGGCAACAACATTGTTGGTGAAAGGTGGTGGTGGAAGGCAACAGTGGTATAAGTGATGGCGGTGATGGCAACAACATTGTTGGTGAAAGGTGGTGGTGGTAGTGGTGGCTGTAACGATGACTATGGTAGTGGCAATGATGGTGATAAAAGGCGGTAGCACTTAAAATTATAGAAGTTGGTGGTAGTGGCGGTGTTGGAAGGCGTGAAGGTGGCTGTGGTGCTGACGGCAGCGGCAGTGTAGTGGTGGCAGTTGAAGGCAACGACGGTAGTGGCAACGGCGGTGTTGGAAGATAGTGGAGGTGGTGATGGTGAAAAGTAATGGTGGTGGTGGTAGTTTTTGGACTTGAAACATGAGAGTTTTTTAGGAAATAAAATTTACTTATGAATGGAATAGTCATTTCATAAGTTCAGTTGTGGAATGAATTATCATTCCTCTTATTCCAAGTGAATGGTCATACCCACTTTAATTTCATACCAAACAAAAGGAATGGTTGAAATAGACATTTCATTCCATTCCATCCTTATGTACCAAATGCATCATTATAAAAATTACCCCTCATTATATAAGACACAAATATATTAATTTTCATTCTTACAATAAGTTTGCCCCTATGTCTCACTTAAGCCACTCTCCCTGATATATATATATATATATATATCATTGCAGTGATGCCGAAGCCATCTCTATATCACTAAAGCGATGTGAAAGTCATCTCTATACCATCACAATGTCGCATAAGCCACCTCTCTTTATACGACGTGGAAGCATTTTCGTCTCACTCTAAAACTATTTCTCTCTCCATAACGGATGACATTCTTGTCATATCATTATAATGACAATTATACATGCAACCAATAACTTTTGTGGGATTTTTACAAGTCCCTAAAGGGGTACACCACCACAAGCAAAGTAACTTGCTCTTGTTTAAAGTCATCACCCGAATTGATATCACTTCTTAGACAAATACATGCACACTCATTAACTCTCGAACCTCATTTTCCGTGCCATTGTAATGCCTAAATCTCGTAGGATCCTTAGAATAGCATTCTCCCACATATCTCTCTTGATTTTTGTGCAAATCCCACTCTCTTGAGCACTTTCATTTTAAACTCTCATTTTTACCCATAAATGGTTGGTTTTAAAACTCTTTTCTTCTCAAATGGTATGTTAAAACTCTCAAAAATCTTATAAGAGACATTTTTATTAAGAACTCATGATCTAAAATCTCTCTCAAAAGTACTTTTGATAAAACATCATTTTAAGCCCTCATACGAAATGTTTTTACCTTAAAACCCTCTCAAAACTCTCAAAACGCATTTTTAGCATTCTAATTGCTTTCTGCCATGTCATCTAAGATTCGAATGCCCCCTTTAATGGTTTTACTACATTCTTAGAACTACACATCGCCTTTAAGATCGCTTTAGTACCCTTATCTCATTTCTTAGGATCCGAATGATCATTAAAATTGTTTTAGTGTTTTTTATTTGTTGTTAGAGGCACACATGGCCTTTAAAATCGCTGAGGTACCTTTATCTCGTTTCTTAAGATCCGAATGATCCTTAGAATTATTTTTAGCCTTTTTCCCTTCATTCTTAGAGTCACACATTGTCTTTAAGATTGTTTTGGTATCCTCATCTCATTTCTTAAGATCTGAATAACCCTTAGAATTGTTTTTAGTGTTTTTCCCTTCGTTCTTAGAGGCATAATCGCATCTAAGATCACTTTAGTGCCTTCATCTCCTTTCTTAGGATCTGAATGACCTTTAGAATTATTTTTAGTACTTTCCCTTTGTTCTTAAAGGCATACATCACCTTTAAGATTACTTTAGTACCCTTATATTATTTATTAGATCTGAATTACCCTTAGGATTGTTTTTATTGTGTTCCCTTTGTTGTTAGAGGCATACGTTGCCTTTGAGATTGATATGAGTAATACTTTTGAAATGGGCATGGTTAGTGAACTGACTTTCTTTTTAGGTCTCCAAGTGAAACAACTTGATGACGGGATTTTCATATCTCAATCTAAATATGCAAAGGAGCTAGTTAAGAAATTTGGCATGAAAGATTCAAAGCATGTGTAAACCCCTATAAGTACTTCATCCAAATTGGACAGAGACTTTGATCCTAACAAGGTTGATCATTTCTTGTATAGGAGTATGATTGGTAACTTGTTGTATTTGGTAGTAACTAGGCCTGATATTTCATTTAGTGTAGGTGTTTGTGTTAGGTATCAAGCTAATCCTAGAGAACAACACATTCTTGCAATCAAGCGTATTATTCGTTATGTCAATAGTACATTGAATTATGGATTGTGTTATTCCTCTGAACCTAACTCTGAGATTGCAGGCTATACTAATGCTGATTGGTCTGGTAATAAAGATTATAGAAGAGTACTTCAGGTGGTTGTTTCTATGTTGGTACTAATCTTGTTTCATGGTACAACAAGAAGCAAAATTGCATATCTTTATTATCTTGTGAGGCTGGATACATTACTGCTGGAAATTGTTGCACACAATTGCTTTGGATGAAACAGATGCTTCTGGATCATGTAGTTGATCAATGTATTATTACTATCTTTTGTGATAATACTAGTATAATTAATATTTCAAATAATCTAGTTTTACATTCTAGGACTAAGCACATTGACATTCGACATCACTTTCTTAGGAAACTTGTTGAACAAAATGTCATGTGTTTGGAAAAAGTGCATACTGATCAAAATTTGGCTGATATTCTCACTAAACTATTAGATGCTCCTAAGTTTTCTCATTTTAGGAAATATATTGGTGTCTGTTGTCTTGATTAGATGCATTGCAAAGACATAGTCTAGAAAGGATTTTCATGTATATCTTGAGTGTCTAGATTATGTTTTAGGGAAGTTAAGCAAACCATATTGATTGATTATGTTGAACATAAGGAGTTTCATGACACATGGATTATAGGTGTAAAACATATTATGGCTTTGAATTGAGGAAAATTGGTTTTGCTTACTTGTTTCGTATAATAAATGAATAATTGGAAGTACATTTACTTGTATTTGATGTCATTGTTTTAGTCAAAGATAATATTGACATGATTGATCATTGTCTTGGAATTTAAACTTGATTTATGTGTTTTAAAATAAAAGAGTGAAAAGAAAAGAAAATTGAAAAACAGCTTGGAATAAAAAGTTTTTTTTTTTTTAAAAAAAAAAAAAGAAAAAGAAAAAGAAAAATTAACTGTTTTAAAAGAAAAAGGTGCGATAGAAAAGGCTACCTTTGGGATTTGTCTGAAAGCTACCTTGACTAGAAACAAATGGGAAT